ACGGCTGTGGCGGTGGCGGCCGATCGCGCCACCGCCGGATCGCGGTGGGGCGCACGGCGGCCACGGCGTTCGCGCCGACGATGTCGGTGGTGGGGCTGTGTATTGGGCGCACGGGAAGGGGACTCGTCAACAAACCGTGGCAGCTACGTTTCGAGCCGCATTCGCCGATGAGAAACACACGATCGCGCGCGTGTCGAGTTAATTTTTATTGTCAGTCGGCCGTTCATCGATATAGATTTATATATATATATAAATTAATAATACGCATAGATATACGTATATATTTTTTGGTGCAGTTTAATTAGATTTTGTTTTGCCCGCGATTATTTATTTCTCGTTCCACGCTGTTGTCCGTGTTCGTTTTCGTCGCGATTGTGCGTGTTTATTTTCGTTTTAAATTCAATCCGTTTTGCCGCCCGAGACGTACGTGCCGATTATGTGAGATATATCTTGGTGAAGTTTTGTTTGGTTTGGTTCGCCGTTTTTTTTTTCTCCGTCCATCCGTCGTTTTCGTTCTCGCGCGTGTAACGTATGTGCGGCGTGCGAAATCCGTATACACGTCACCGCTGCCGTCGTGCGTCAATTGTTTTTCCCTCGTCAGTGCTTGTGTTCCTACCGTAATGTTCGCGTAAACTACTTGGTTTTCTCCTTTTCCGCCGCCGTCGCCACCTGTCCAGGTGTGTGTGTGTGTGATTGTGAGTGATTGTGTGTGCGTGCGCCTACCGATATCGAATCCGTTGAACCGCGGTGGACTCGTTGTGCGCGACCTGTGTGTTTGGGCGTGTTCCCGAATGATGAAGAGTTGGCGACATAATGGTTAGGGAGACTCGCCATCTTTGGGTCGGAAACCTGCCGGACAATATACGCGAAGAGAAGATACGCGAACATTTCAAGAGGTTAGTGTTGAGCCTCGAGCACATCGGGCTATCTTACCGTATTGTAATGATATGTACTTATAACGTACTGCGGTACACATAATATTTTAGTTACTTAGTAGTAGTTATGGTCAGTTAAGTCGGCGATGACGTAGTTATTTATGGTGAAGCACAAACGCGCCCAAACGTTGCTGCGGTAATGGTTTTACAGCCGGCTGTGACCGCAGTGGCACGCGGAAACCGCCGCGCCAACCCCCTCCCAACGGTCCGTGACCGGCGGCGTTTCCTCGTCATCGCCGCCGCCGTCCAATTATCATAACGCGCGAACTTCAGACGACTTGGCCTGGCAGATCCAGCTTGTATAGTACGACCGTTTGGCATATGCGAGGGCCGTGACGTGACTTCTCTTGACCTCGTCGGCGCACCCGACTTGGTTGTGTGTCCCTTCACGGCTTTGTGGCGCCTGCAATAGAAGATTCGATCTAACCACTCGTCATTACAAATTGTATATCGTCGTCGTATTTCGGAATTATATGTCTCTCGGAACTGAAAAAATCCTTTGGGTCTGCTATCCGTCGAGATACCTGCTCGAGAAGATTTTTATCGCACGTCTTTTCTACCATTATACTACCTGTACGTGATTCTAACGCATCGCAGTAGTTATCGGCGAACAAGAATAAGTAGTACGAGACCGACGAAATCTGTTGTGTTTTCCTTTTGTTCTGGTTCAGGTATACGCTACGCGTCCGTCTACAATGGTGCGTATTCATATTCGTTATATAGCATTATATTCGTTATATAGTAGGTATATAATAGCTACGGCAATCGTATCGGACCCCACATCTGCAGTTGGTAGTCAGCGTGAAAATGAGTGGCCTGATTGTATTTGATTTTTAATAACTCTAACGTCCGTTTCAAGGTTGACCAATGTTGCCCAAGAATAAATTTACATTTAAAAAGTCGTTCGTTCTAGCACATTTCCTATCTTCTTTTTTTTTGCCTATGTTCTTTCGTTCACGGTAGAAGCGCATTTGCCATAAGGTGTTTCTCATCGTACTCTCCTGACACGCGTGTTCGTCATCAGCAATCTCGCCTAGACGCGACTGTGTCGAGAATTCGTCGCGTCGGCCAACTATATGTTTTTATTTTCATGCTCTCTCGCGCACGAACGGAGTTTAAGGCGGCGGCGTTATTATTTAAGTAATAGTAAATTCAGATTCTCGGCGGGCGGAACAAATCGTCGAAGCCGTCACCTTGTGCTGAGGGAAATATTTGGGGAAAAAAATAATACTCATTCGGTTCCAAGTGTCAAGGTCACAGCTATTTTCCACGTTAAATACCACAATATTGCATGTGTATTTGCGCGCACGTCATTTCCCTCTGCCACTCGAACTCTACGATACCGGTGGAATACATAAGCGGTAAAATGAGATAAGAAAAAAGTATCGTAAATAAGCGTCATGATGAGGCGATACGTCGACGTCCCGGCGTGTTTGTTTTCTTTTTCGAATCTAAAAATAAACAAAACGATATCGGCCGCCGCCCATTCATCAATCGTTCATCCAGTCGTTTTCCGTACGCGCGGGACCCGCTCCCGTTCACCGAACAAATACGAAAAATCGTAAACATTAATTCCCTCTCTCTACACAATAGCACCTATAGTCGTCCAGGAAATGATGTGCACGCGCGTGTGTGTGTGTGGCTCTCTATTGTGTTTCAACTCGTTTCGTTTCTCGCTTTTTCACTCCACCCTGACACGAATGAGCTTCGCGTGTTTTGTGGGGAAGGGGGTGCGAGCCCTTCGCCCAAAATAATACACACACGCACGATACCGGGATACGACAACCGCCACCACCCTTCTGCCCGCGTAGAGGGTTTATTTCCACACGTTTTCGGAATAGTGAAGCGCTCGTTCGACAACTGCGTGTTTATTTACTGTAGTCCGAATGCTGAGAACGCGTACGCTAGCCCCGCCGCGAGGTTAACTTGTTTCGCGGGTGAGTGACGGCGGCGGCGCTGAACTCACGATATGACTCCTTTATTATCGCGTTATTATTAGCCTGAAAATTGTAGTATATATACGTATATCGAACGGTCCAATATCCTACGAATGCGAATGAGTCTGAAATACGTACGTCTATCATTATTTGTTATACGACTGTTTTCTCGAGATCATAGTGCCGAAGAACGAGTACGCTCGCGGAAACATCGCGATAATAAATAGTATGTGTTTATTGTTTTTTTTTTTCACCTGTGATTTATCAATGAAATCGTAAATAAATACGGTTTCGAAAAGAAAGCGCTCGCGCGCGTACAGAAGAAAAAAACGACCGATATGTGTGTGCGTGTGTTCACGTCAACGACGACAATTTTGCGCGTACAACCGCGGCGGACGCGACCTGTTTACTCGGCTCGAAATCGTAGCGAAAATCGATTATGTACAGAATAGAAACGCTCGCCAGAAGAAACCGCTCTCTTCGAACCCGGTTGTGTCCCGGGAGAGGCGCTATTGTTGAAATAATAATTGTTGTAAATAAAATAACGCGCTCTTGGAAAATCGTTATTCGTACGGTCTGACTCCTCCGCCGCGCTATTATCATAATAACCGGTTGGCTGACTGACCGGCGGCGTTGATTGAGTTCTTCAAACACGGTGATACAGCACCGCCGCGTACGGTTTTATCGTAGTAAGTAGTGGGAGTAGTTATCTCGTAGTAAACGCGTAATGGGAACGGATAATAATACATTTTTCTCGGTCGCCAATACAGTTATCGTGAATTGAAAATATATTTTCACCGGCAGTACGTCTCTCGAAACCCAAATGGAACGCTATCGCCGGAACAACAACAATAAACACTAATAATAACAGTACGTATTTTTCTCTCGGTTCGCGAAACACGTCGCCCGACGAATGTTCACAAATAACCATCATCTCGTCCGTTCGTCGTTTTTTCTTTTAAAAATAATAATCGAATTTACGTCATGTACGACTGTGGTTGTTGTTTGTATTATTCGTCCGCTGTCGTCGTACACACTACACTTGGCGCGACGTGCAATTAATGCTAAAACGCTAAACCGTGGGACGCTCGAAACGACTAAATAAGTGGAGAGCGAGCCTGTAAGAATTTTAAAATTCAATATCCGTCCAAGTCGAGAATTTGTTTTCACGAAAAAAAAAAAAAAAAAAAAATTGAAACAATATTGTCATCGTCACATGTCAATTTTTTCATTCGTGTTTTTTTCTCGATATGGCTCTTGATATTAGCTACGCTCTGTACTCGATGAAAATAGAAACTGCGAGAAGTCGCGCGTTATAATAATATTATATTTTAACGGTTATTGTTCTCGTTCTCCTGTGCTACGGCTGACACGCTATGGTAGGCGTTTGACTAACGAGTAGTTTTATATTTTTCTCCTGGCATATGTCCTCCCCGATGATATAATCGATGCCAAAAGTGTAGGTAAAAATACAAGTTACGCACTGTTAGCTATGCGTTCACGAAGAGTAAAAAATGGTTAATTTTTCTCATCTGAATGTTATTAAGACGTAGTTGGTTCGCGTAGAACAAAAACACAGTATTTTTGTATTTCCTACTAGGAAATTAAAGACTTTTATTATTATACACTTTGGTTACCCGTGGTCATGACGATAAAAACGAAGGTTATAATGATATATCTACGTAGCTCTATTTGTATGTCTTAGGTATTATGTCAACGAAAAATACCAGTTTTACCCAAGAGGTCACGAGAGAAGTATGGGTTCCTATATTAGCGTAACGCATGTACTAAAACAAATCAGCAGTAGTTCCTAATCATATTAAATCGTATGGCTTGGTTTATGATAATCAAACTCTGGCGTAAGAACTCGCTGTTATTTAGTATATGCCGTTTTTTGTTAAGGAACCGAGAAGGCGATTTTTTTTTTGTACATAATGGACTAGTAATTGTTCAAGATACTCTAAAGTATTTTTAAATTTCACGTATAGAATACCATAGGCTGGCAGGTGATGTGCGTCGTCTTTGTGTATCATCGTCTGCCGTTTTTTTCCATCGTCGGTTTCCGGTTTTCGAATCATCGTTTTGTCTTATAATACCTACACTCTGCACACCGGTCTTCTTACTGATACATCCAACTCGTCGTTAAAATTAATAACAGTAATTTTAAAACAGCACGCCCGGGTACGGCGTTTTTTCACCATGCGACGCAGAACGTGTGACGACATTGGTATAGTTATTTTTTTTTATCTTCTATTATCTTCTTCTGTTTTTTTTTTTTTTTACGACCGTTTTATTTTGTATTATCATTGTTGTGTACGTACGTAGGTATATACCTGGTAAGTGAAAAGCGTGTTCGGAGAGAAGTATTAGCGGTGGAGGTTACAGAGAGAAAAAAGAAACGATAGGAGGACCGCCGCGACGGTGGCTGTCGTGTACGTCTTGTCTGCAACGGCACGGAATTTACAGGTCGAAACCGGGCTCGACAGTGGTGACTGTGAGCTCCTCTCCCGCGTGTGATAACGTCTATTGATTTCTCGGCCTGTAAGACCGAGAGGGTGAGGTTGGGCGAGTTTGAACGAATGGCGGAGAGGTGAGTGGGGACGGGAGCGAGAGGAAGGCTGCTGCGTAAAAGGGCGCGCTTTTGTCGAGTTTTTGTCGAGTGTGTGCGTGGCGCGGTGCTGCTGTGAGTGTGCGTGCGTGCGTAATGTGGTGTATTGCACGTCCTCCGCCACTGCCGGCGGCGGAGTAAGAGTAGCGTTAGGGGGACACAACCCCCATGTATTGTGTATTATTATGTGCACTCGTATAAAAGAATAATACGTATTCCCCTCTCAACGATTCTCCAGTATATTGCGTCAGCACGGAGATACCGGCCCTGGGATCTTGTGAATGTGTGTGTGTGTGTGTGTGTGGTATTTACTCGAGCAGTGTATGCGATCCCTTTCATTTGCTCCAATGCCTCGCGACCCGGACACCACGCACGCGCAAGGCCAACATATTATTATTAACTTATTCGAACAAAAA